AAGACAGATTTACAGTCTGCCAGGCAGACAGTTCCATGTTCTTGAATTTGAGGCCATTTCTGCACAGCACCTGCAAACATGAATAGGTGCATCCTTGGACATTCTTTCCAGAAAAGTCAGCTTGCCATGCTCTGATGCCTCTTCAACCACTTTGGCCAAATTTGTTTCATGTGCCAGTTGCGTGGAAGGCTGGTTTTACTCTGGCAATGGGTGACATTTTCCTGGCCCGGCGATCACATGCCTAGGAGGTTTCTCCTCTTGCATGAAGGCAAATTCTGGCCAAAGGCGCCTGGCTGACATGCTGGAGACTTAAATCCTCCAGACATGAGGAGCATGGAGACAGAGAGCAAGTGGCGCCATGCTGACATTCCCACTCATCCTTAGCATTCCCAGCACATTAGGGTAAATCTAAGGTCTTCCTATTGTTTCCAACAAGTGGGATTAGATCTTGAGGATCTAAATGTTAAATCTAAATGCTCAGTCAGTTCAAGCTCAACTCACTGAGAAAACCAGAGAATTGCAATACAATCTCAATTAGTATAACAACTTATACAAACTATAGCAGTGTATTGCAAACTAGGCTGTGAATTTTGTCATCATCTAGGAAGCTTAAAAAAATATTGATGTCTGGGCTCCACACTTCAGAGAATCTGATTTAATTGACCTGGGATGTCTAGACTTTTAAAAGATCTCCAGATGATTCCACTTGCTATCAAGGTTGAGAATCACTCACCTGTGATCTCGGAGTTGAAGATCACAACGAAGTTAGGCGGAAAGATAGAACTGTGGTACTGAAACCCGGCTGCATAGCTGAAGCACTTGAGGTGATTATGAAAATAGTAATGCCCAGGCTTCATACAAGGAGCTCTGGTAGCGTAGTAGTTACGAATTGGGCTGCTAACATCAAGGTCGGCAGTTCGAAACTACCAGCTGTTCCGCAGGAGAAAGATGAGGCTTTCTGCTCCCGTAAAAATTTGCAGCCTCAGAAACCCTGTGCAGGGTCACTATGAGTCAGAACCAACTTCACAATACTTAACAACAACAGGCTTCATAAGATAAGCACTGGACTGTGAACCACCGGGTCCATAATTTGAGCCCTCCAGGCTGCTCTGCAGACTTACTGCTTCTGCAAAGATTTTCAAAGCCTCAGAAACATTATGCTGCTGTTGTTAAATACCATTGAGTAGATTCTGACTCATAGCAACACTATATAAGGTTTTCAAAGAGTAGCTGGTAAGCTTGAACTGCCGAACTTGTGGTTCATACCAACCTTGCAGTCCAGCGCATTAACCTACAACACCGCAGCAGAATCCAGCACAGCATCGCTACGAGTGCTGACTTGACAACACTTAGCAACAGCAATGTCCAGGCCCTGCCACCCCTGCCCCCATTTCTGATCTCCTTATATTTTTACTACGGCCCCTAGTGAGATGGATTGGCAAAGTGGCAGCATCAATGGACTCAAACGTGGCAATGATAGTGAGGTTGGCCCAGGGATTGGGCAGTGCTTCGTTCTGTTGTGCACAGGGTCTCTATGAGTTGGTACAAACTCGATGGCACTTAACAACAACAACAACAAGTTTTGCTCAGCATTCAGTGGGAGCTCACTGGTAGAATGCTTCCCAGCCAAGGGTCCTCACATAGACAGCATATACCTGCTTCTCGGTGGAGGCTTGCATGTTGCTACAATGCTAAACAGGTTTCCACAGAACTGCCAGATTAAGGCAGACCAGGAAAAAGGTTGGAGGATAGATACATGAAAAAGAAAAATAAACCAAAAAACATTTACACACACAGTCACACACTCACACACAAACTAAAGCATTAAAGAACAAATCATTGCTAATCTGTCTTGTTCTAAATGTAAGAGTTACTGACTTTCAGAGAAGCATCTAACCAGAAAGAGTTAGAATAGTCAGATCTGACTTCAGGGATAAATTAAAAATTGAGCTTTTCCTTAAAAGATGAGAGGGGTTTGGAGGAGGAAGTATATTCTAAGAAAGAACCTTTTCTCATCCAGTCCTTCTTTCCTCTTTCTCTTGGGAAACATTTCATTGAGCTGCTTATCTGTTCTGTTTTAGGTTGTTGTTGTTGTCACTCACTGCCACTGAGTCCATTTTCACACATCATAACCCCTGGTGGCAGAAGAGAACCATCCCAGTGAAGTTTCTAGCCTGTAATGTCTGGTAGCGTAGTGGTTATGAATTGGGCTGCGAACCGCAAGGTCAGCAGTTCGAAACTACCAGCTGTTCTATCAGAGAAAGATGAGACTTTCTGTTCCTGCTAAGATTTACAGCTTTGGAAGCCCTCTACAGGGTTGCTATGAATCCGACAGAACCGAATCCATGGCACATAACCACTAATCACCACCAATCTTTACAAGGGAGTCCTGGTGTGGGTTAATGTGCCAGACTGCAAAGCCATTTGAATTGCAAGCTCACCAGCTGTTCCTCAGAAGCCCTATACAGGGTTGCTATGGGTTATAGTCGACTCGACGGCACTTAGCAACAATGACAATCTTTACAAAAGTACATAGATCCCTAGATCTTTCTCCCATGGGGCTGTTGTGTGGGTTTGAATTGCCAGCCTTTCTTTTGGCAGCCAAGTGCTTAACCTACACACTACCAATACCCCTTGTATTACACAATAAGATATAAAATATAAGGACCCACTCCCGGTGTTGAAAATCTCCCAGTCTTACAGGCAAGCAAGCATAGACTCAAATAACTGTAAGTGCTTAAAACTGTGTATACTGCACCTAGAAATATGCACACAAAGAGAAAGTGTGGATGGTTTCACAGTAGAGGTCACTGGGTTGGGTCTTGGAGGATGATGCAAGCTTGCTGATCGGGTCAGACAAGGCAGGACATCTGCACGAGTAAGAGAGGTATAAACCCAGAAGTTAAGGTCAGAGACTGAGGGCTACTGGGTATGATAGGTAAATAACAGCAACAACAACAATACTAGTATTATCCCCATTTTACATTTGAGGAAACAGAGATACAGAGACATTAAGTAACTCATCTGATGTGGTTGTTGTTAGCTGCCATTAAGTTGCCTCAACTTGTGACAACTCTTGGTAGAATAGAGTAAACTTTGTCTAGTACTCAAAATCCTCAAAATAGCCAGCATGTTCAAGCCCATTGTTGTACCCCTTGCAGCAATCCATCTTACTGAGAGTCTCCCTCTCCCTCCTCGGCCCTCTATTCACTAGACATGAAGCTCTCCTCCAACGATGGATCCCTTCTGAAAACATGTCCAACGCAAGAAAGTAAAGCAATGTTCTTTGTGATCCATACAATTTTTATTTGTTAAGTTTGGGATTTAGTCTGTCTTAGTCTGGAAGCTTTGCTGAATCCTGTCCACCATGGATCTGAGAGGACTGAGTTGAGAAGTGTAGGTATGCTTTGGATCTGTAGGTAGATGGAATAGCTCCCAGCATCACAGCAACACACAAGCCAACATAGTATGACAAATGAGCAAATGAGTGTTGGTATCTAAGGCTAACCAGCTAATAATGAGTGCATCTGGAAATCAAAATTTGTGTTCTAAAAAGTTATGCAATGAAGTCACTCATTCATATTGTTAAATATCACTTGCTGGAGAAGTCACAAAAGCCACAATAAGTAGATTCATGCAAACATCTTACATGTTGTCTGTGCAACGCCAATTGTTTCAAAATTATTAGACCATCAAAATGCTTCCCTTTCTCTGATCATCCTAACCCTTTCTACTATTTTCTTTACCCACAAGTCTGAAGGAAAACTTAGAGGAAGCACCATGCTCTGTGCTTGATTTACTGATGCCCCAAAACATAGATTACAGACTCTACATTGAAGGGTCAACAAGTCAAGCCTTATATCCAAAATCTGTTGTGTTTTAAGTTAAGCCTTTGTTTACATTTCTGCAACCTTTAAAAATTAAGCAGCTGTTTCTATGCTCAAGAAATCCTTCCCTGTGGTATAAAAAGTGCAGATGCTGAGCAGGCAGGAATGTCTCTGCAGTTATCAGGGTGAATTTGGACAGAGCATTGGACTCCCAGCAGTTCTTGTAGAATTGTTCTAGAATGGAACCCGAGCCTTGAATGGTATCGGAAAAGCTTCTTGAGTGATTCAGTGGGCAGCCAGACTCACTAACTACTGATGTCATGGATTCCACTCTTGTTTCCTCCTCTGGAAACAGGAGGTAATAATTCCAAGTCCTCAGTGGGGACCTGTATAAGGTTTCCAAGGAGCAGCTGGTAAGTTTGAGCCTCTGACCTGTGGTTCAAACCAACCTTGTGGTCCAGTGCTTTATCTTGCAGTGCCTTACCAGGACTCCTACTGTAACTCTTGTTGTTGTTGTCGTTAAGTGCCATCAAGTCGATTCCGACCTATAGCAACCCTGTACTGGGTTTCCAAGGAGCAGCTGGTGAACTTGAACTACCGACCTCACAGTTCAAACCGACTTTGCAGTCTGACGCATTAGCCCCCAGCACCAAATAGTGCAACTCTAGGGAACATTAATTCTTACCTTCATTTTACAAACGAGGACACTGAAATATGTTAATATACTCATTATAGAATAATAATTTTTTTATGATTAAGGACCACTTTAATTATTTCAATCATTTCTAATGAATATAGTGGGGTTACAGAAGGTTCCACTCATGCTCCCAGTGAGAATTAAGAGTTCTGAAATTTAAAGTAGATTACTCTTTAGCTACATAAAGGCAGTATATTAAAGCATATTACAAAGTGCAAACAAGGAGATTTTCAGAAGAACAAATACAAGCTGATTGTCCAAACAAGAGGGCTGAGAAATATCTCCTGGAGATCAGTCCGAGGAAATAAGACTGCCTCACTCAAATAGAGGCCAACATAGGTTTTGATTGATTCTTCTTTTCGATAGTCAAAGGAAAGCTTCAAGGAAACTGAGGTTCATTGCTGCAGTTGGGTCAGTCACCAAAGAGACACTTTGGCTTACTTTTCTCATGCTGCCTGAACAAGAAATCAGCTGATTCAGCCAGTAATTCTAACTCTGGACTGATATCTCCACACCCGAGCCTTGAGTTCCTCTGGCAAGATGGCCTGCAATTGCTCTTGCACCAGCATTTCCACAATCTGCTCTTTTGTGTGGATGCCAGTTCTCAGCCACTGTTCAGCAAGCTCCTGGAGATGCCAGAGGACATCTCTGGATCCAGCTGCACTCTCATAGTGGAAATGCCTAAACCTCTGCAGGCAGGCTGCAGGATTGGGGGAATTCCTTCGTGGGATGGTCTTGAGGTCCTTAATAGTGTCTTCTTCATTGAGGCTCCTAAGTGGGAGTCCTGCAGGATCCATTGAAACCTGGACCAGGGGAGCTGGTATGACTTTGGGCTCAACAGTCATTGTCTCATCTGATGATGACTTAATCTGACCACTCTGAGCATCATTCCTATTTCCTTGTGTCGCGGAGTGCTTGTCGCGCTCCATTCTGGAACTATGGAAGAGGATGTCTTAGTTCTCAGACATCTGACTCTGGAAAAGGGCTATACAAGAATTTAATACAAAGATTTAATACAGACTCTCTATTTAAACAAAAAGTAGAAGAAAAAAATTTCCACAGAAGAAATACTAACAGATAATAAGGGGTTTTTTTTGGGGAAAAAAAAAAAAATCTATGTCAGTATTCAAGGTAGTGAAAATCAAAAACATTTATCCCTTACTGATGGGGTGCAGTATGATAAGTGCTGGACTGCAAAGTCAGTTTGAACAGCAACTCGTAAAGACTGATATTGATGAGCTGAAATAGACTGGTATTTGAATTGGCTATTTGAATCTGCCAATCACATGGTTTCCTATGCTGGGAATGACAAATTGAAGAGAAATGGTGTCACATTCATCATAAAAAAGAGCATTTCAAGATATGTAGGCATATATCCATACCCCTACAGGGAAGACCAGTTAATACCACTATTATTCAAATTTATGCACCATCCACTAAAGTCAGTGATGATGAAATTAAAGAAATCTACCAACTTCTTCAGTATGAAATTGATCAAACTTGCAATCAGGATGTTTTGATTATGAATGGTGATTGGAATGGAAACAAAGTAGTTGGAAAATATAGCCTTGGTGATAGAAATGATGCTGGAGATCGCATAATAGAGTTCTGCAAAACAGTGATTTCTTCATCGCAAATATCTTCTTTTAAACACATAAAAGATGACTATAGACATGGACCTCACTAGATGGAATACACAGAAATCAAATTGACTACATCTGTGGGAAGAGATGGTGCAAAAATTCAACAACCTAAGCCAAAACAAGGCTAGGGGCAGAGTGTGAAATAGACCATCAATTGCTTATATGCCAGTTCAGGCTGATGCTGAAGGAAATTAAATCAAGTCCATGAAAGCCAAAATATGACATTGAACATATCCTACCTGACTTTAGAGAACATCTCATAAACAGGTTTGATGCATTAGACACTAATTACGGACAACTAGAAGAGGTATGGGATGACATCAAGAGCATCATACAGGAAGAAAGCAAAAGGTCACTAAGAAGTCAGGAAAGAAAGCAAAGCAAATGGAAGAAATGAGGGTGTAAAAGAAATGAACAGGAAATTTCAAAGAGCTGCTCCATAAAGTAAAGTCAAGTATTATAATGAAATGTGCAAAGACCTGGAGTTAGAAAACCAAAAGGGAAGGACATGCTCAGCATTTCTCAAGCTAAAATAACTAAGAAAAAAATCTAAATTTCAAGTTGAAATATTGAAAAATTCTGTGGGGGGAAATACTGAATGATGCAGAAAGCATCAAAAGAAGATGGAAAGATTATACAGGGCCACTGTACCAAATGGAAATGGTCGCTGTTCAACTGTTTCAAGGCATAACATATAAACAAGAGTCAATGGTACTGAAAGGAAAAGTCCAATGTGCACTGAAGGCATTGGCAAAGAAAAAGGTTCTGAGAACTGATTGAATACAAATTGAAAATTTTCAACAAATTGATGCAGCACTGGAAGCACTCACTCATGTATGCCAAGAAATTTGAAAGACAGTTACCTGGCTAACTGATTGGAAGAGACCTATATTGTGACCTTTCCAAAGAGAGGTGGCTCAACAGATTGTCTGCATCAAACAATATCATTAATATCACAGGCAAGTAAAATTTTGCTAAGAATAATTCAAACATGTCTTCAAAAGCACATAAACAGGGAACTGTCAGAGGTCCAAGTCAGATTTGGACTAGAACATAGAATGAGGGATATCATTGCTGATGTCAGATGGACCTTCGCTGAAAGCAGAGAATGCCAGAAAGATGTTTTGTTGTTGTTGTTATTAAGTGCCATTAAGGCAGTTCTGACTCATAGAGACCCTATTTAGGGTTTCTGAGGAGCAACTGGTGGTTTGAACTAATGACCTTGTGGTTTGCAGTCCAGTGCTGATCCACAGCACCACAACAGAAGTCTGAAAGAAGTTTACCTGTGCTTTATTGACTATGCAAAGTCCTTCGACTGTGTGGATCAAGACAAGCTATGGATAACATTGCTAAGAATGGGTATTTCAGAACACTTAATTTTGCTCATGAGGAAACTGTACATAGACCAAGAGGCAGTCATTCAAACAGAACAAGAGGATACTGAATAGTTTAAAATCAGGAAAGGTGTATTGTAGGTTTTTTTTCTTTCACCAATTTTTCCAATCTGTATGCTGAGGAAATAATCCGAGAAGCTGGATTATATGAAGAAGAACATGGCATCAGGATTGGAGGAAGACTTATTTAAAATATGTTACATGCAGATGATACACTTTGCTTGTTGAAATTGAAGAGGAATTAAAATACTTACTGACAAAATCAAAGACCACAGCCTTCAGTGTGGATTGTACCTCAGTGTAAAGAAAACAAAAGTCCTCACCATTGGACCAGTAAATAACATCATGATAAATGGAGAAATGTTGAATTTTTCAAAGACTTCATTTTGCTTGTATCCACTATCAACACTCACAGAAGCAACAGTCAAAAGCTCAAACAGCATATTGTATTAGGCAAATCTGCAAAAGTCCTCTTTAAAGTATTCAAGATCAAAGATACCAGTTTGAGGACTAAGGTGTGCCTGACCCAAGCCACAGTATTTTCAGTCACTTCACATGCATGTGAAAGTTGGCCAGTGAATAAAGAAAACCATAGAAGAATTGATGCATTTGAGTTATGATGTTGGAGAAGAATATTAAAAATGCCATGGAATGCTGGAAGAACAAACAAATCTGTGTTGGAAGAAGTACAGCCAGATTGTTCTTTAGAAGCTAGGGTGGCGAAACTTTGTCTCTCAGACTTTGGACATATTATAAGGAGGGACCAGTCCCTGGAGAAGAACATCATGCTTGGTAAAGTGGTGGGTCAGCAAAAAAGAGGAAGACCGCGCCCCCCCCCCCACTCCCAACGAGACAGATTGTTACATTGTCAGCAGCAATGGGCTCAAGTGTAACAACGATTGTGAGGTTGACACAGGACCAGTCAGTGTTTTGTTCTGTTGTGCACAGAGTCACTATGAGTGACTTGATGGCACCTAACAACAGAAGCAATGTGTACCTATCTATCTGTCTGTCTGTCCATGTATCTGTCTATCTATCTAGTCATCCAGCTATCTACCAACCTACCTATTACAGGTAGTTCACAACTTAAGACATATTCAAGTTACAAGGGACTACACTTAACTGCTGTCATTGTTGTTGTTGTTATGTGCCATGGAATCGGTTCTGACCCATAGCGACCCTGTACAGGGTTTCCGAGGTTGTAAATCTTTATCGGAGCAGAAAACCTCATCTTTATCCCACAGAACAGCTGTAGTTTCGAACTGCTGCTGATAAGATTAGCACTACCAGAGCTCCTTGTTGTTGTTGTTGTGAAGTGCTGTCGAGTTGTTTTCGACCCATAGCGACCCTGTATCGGGTTTCCGAGGAGCAGCTGGTGAGCTTGAACTGCCCACCTTGCAGTTCAAATGGCTTTGTGGTCTGGCGCATTAACCCACAGCGTCACACCAGGACTCCACCAGAGCTCCTTAGGTACCATCAAATCAGTTCTGACTCATAGCAACAGAACTAAACACTGCCCAGTCCTGCACAATCCTCACAACTTCTGTCACTTTTGAGTCCATTACGTTTTACTGCCCTTCTTTTTTTTCACATCTTATCATCGCTAACTAGTACATACAATGTCAAAGCATATAATTTGCTGATATTAACATTGTACACTAATACTTGAGGTGAGCAGCCCAACTCCTAACCACTGTGCTACCAGAGCTCCTATGCATGTGAATATATATGTAAAATTTGCCATTTCAACATTTTTTATATGTACAATTCAGTGACATTAATGACATTCGCCACCAACATGATCCATTTCCAATATTTTTGGTCACCCATGACTCTTTCATGACCTGTGGTACATGTCATTAAGTACAACTCACATTTCCCACCGCTGGGGTGTCTTTGGAAACTATTTATCCCACGTATAGAACATGCTGGAGGCAGGGTGAGTGCTTATGTAACTGCGTAAAACGGAAGGAAGTTTCTCTGTGACATGTTGCTGTGTTTAGAGATTTCTACGGAAGTGGGACAGTTTGGAGGAGCATTAGTGTTACTGGGTCTTCTGCACAGTGAGATGAGGCATGGAAGTATGTTTATTGTTTCCTGTATGCTGTTCAAAAGGTGCAGCGTTAGATTAACATCCAAGTGTATATTTTTTTTCCACGCCTCATCTCATCTATCCTATCACAAGAGTCCACTGGGACCTATGTATCCCATATAATATCTGGGCTATCATGTTGCTGTTGTTAAGTATTGTCAAGTCAGTTGTGACTTATAGTGACCTTCTATAGGATTTGAACAACTGACCTTTCAGTTTGCAGTCTAGTACTCATCTTACAGTGCCACATCAGGACTCCACAATCCATCATCGCTAACAAAAATTTTAAAACAAAGGTTCAACACACATTCCATTATCAAAAAACATTTTTTCAACAAAATCTTAAAGACACAAAAAACTTGAGTAATGAAATTATCAGAAACTCATGCCGCTAAAACAATAGCTTTCCTTTTCCATAAATTTCAGTAAATTTTTTTTAATGTTTTATTGTGAATTATATGATAGTTTACATGAGAGAACCTCAGTTCCAGATTCATTCCATCGTATATCATTACATTGCCATGGTTCCAATCCCCTCCATGCATCATCTTCCGACCAAAGGGCATATCCTAGAAGCCCGTGCTCTACATTCCCCCCTCCCCCCTCAGTCTTCGGCCCACAGTTTCTCTCCCTCTCTGGATCCAAAGTCCCCAGCCGCTTCATCCCTCCATGTCATCATCTCTGTCTCCATCTCAGGCATTCCCTGTTCTCTGGGTGGGGTCCCGTTCTCGGCTCTTATCTGTTGGTGGTCCCAGAGACCTCCGCTCCTAGACTGGAGAAATAACCGCTTCCTTCCTTGC